GAGATAGGAGAGGAGAATGATTAGGAGCTTTGCCTCTGGCATGAAGCTTGAAAGCCTACCACCAACACTGGGTCAAAGGTCCTTGACTTCTCTAGGTCTCGATTTTCTCAACTGTAGTTTGGAGATATGTTGTACATAAAACACTTAAGTCAGAGTCTTGCATGTTGTAATAAACTAATAAATGGCAATGATTGCTAAGTTATTGGAAGAAAGTGTGGGAGAGAGGAATACTTGCATTCATTGAAAGCCTCCTCTATGCCTCTATGTCAGAACCATACTTTATATGAAAGATTTACATAGCTTTTATTCCTTGCACAATCCTATAAGGTTCTAAGACTTTGCAATTGTTTGAACATTTGCACCCTCCCCAATTCCCTGTTGAAATTTAAATCCTTAAAGAAACAGTTTTAAAAGGTGGGGCCTTCATTTGCCCATCAACTGGAGACTGGATAAAGAAAATATTGTTTTTCTATACAATAGAGTACTGCTCAGCCACAAAGAATGAGAAACTAGAGTCATTTACAGGAAAATGGATTCATTTTGAGGCCATACTGTTAAGTGAAATAAATAGGATACATGAATACTGAAAAGTTTCTATGGTGTGAAAATCTAAAAGTGTAAATAAGGTTCAAATTGTATAATTGATAATGTAAAGTAGGAAGAAAAGGAATAAAGGAGTAGGGGAAGTAGAAAGGGTAAGGGAAAAGAAAGAAGGGAAAAAATATGAGAAAAGGAAAAAATGGAAATAAAATCTTTGTAAATAGGGGAGGGTGGAGGGAGTGAAGGGAGGGCAGGGGAATGGGGAAAAATTAAGAACCAAGATATATCATGTAGAAGTACAAGATCCCAATGATTAATGCAATTGTACTGTATACCTAACCTAAAAGGTACCAGTAAACTCAATGGAAAAAAAAAGGGTGGGGCCTTTAGATCATTAAGTCATGAGATTCTGGCCCTTATGAATGGAGTTATCAGCTTTTATAGAAGAGCTAGAGGAACTAGTTAGAACCTACATTGTCTTTTCACTCTTCTACCAGGTAAGGACATAGCAATGGACCCTTCTGTCACATAATTATGGCACGAGTCACCATCTTGGAAGCAGTAAGCAACCCTCACCAGGCACTGACTGTGCTGGCATATTGCTCGGGGACTTTCCAGGCTCCAAAACTGGAAGGAATAAGGTTTTTTTTCCTTTTAAATTATCCAGTCTTGGGTATTTAGTTATAGCAGCAGCACAAATAGACTAAGACGGTTTTCACAGATGAGGACAAAAATGCTTTGAAAGATAAAAGGACTTGCCAAAGATAGAGAGCTAACCCACAATCATGGCATTGCTTGGCCCTAGATCTGTGTTTCTGAAGGTAGCATTTTTCCCTCTTAATTGATATAGACAAGGTCTCTTGCCAGTCTCTAGTTTAACTTCTTCATACCCTAAAGAGTCAGAGAAAAATTTAGAACACAAGTTACAGTGAATATTTTCAGAAGTGCTCTTACCTGAAAAGAATGTTTTCAGCCTTTGACATGAACAACAATTATTTTATCATGAAGTTGGTCACACAGTATATTTTCCACATCAAAATAACTCAATTACAATGAAATTTTAGAAAACTTGCTATTGGTACAGTTTTATTACATTTAGATGTTATTTTTATTGTGTGCCTCCACACTAAAATTCCTTTTTGATGACCACCATTTAAATATTATACCTGGATCTGAAATAGTTAAGTAAAATGAACATCATTTTTTAATGATACCTCTCATGTAAGAAATGTGTATTTATAGATCTTCTGGTAATTCTCTGTATTAATTCCATGACCTCAAAATGACCTGAGAAGGTCAACAATTCCTGTAATATCTGTGAGTGGCACATTTTCATCTCTAACTTAACTCAAAAGTATATAAAAGCTCAGGCAGTCAGAAAGCACCCAAATAGCTATACAGCTAAGATGACCCCAAAATGCAAGTTAATCCTTCCAGGGTCAGTTGTAATTTATGTTCAATTAACTGACTCAAGAAACCTGTTTCAGACAGAAGCCAGAAATTAGTATGCCTGTTGCTTGACTTTTTAGCAGGGAACACTTTTTGTGATAGCCACCATCAGGGGCCCTAAGTAAAAGGCTATCAGTGGGACTTTCTGTAATAGGACAGTTGTTCTCTTCCACACAGCCCAGCTGCACACACTGACGCATTCCAGGAATGTGCTAAAAACATGGAAGATTTGGATGAAAAATGTACTATTTCTGTCATTGTTGGATGCCATGCGTGTGAATAGAAGAGTCAATGAACCTCAGTTTCCATTGTAACACAAGATACAAAATTAAACTTCCTTTAAAACACATCAAAAAAATATAGAAAGCAGCCTGAAGAGGTTCCCAAATGTAAAAAGAATGAGCACCAAAATAAATAATGTAGTAGTGAATCAAAACCCATTAAATAAAGTAAAAATATATTACCCTATTTTTATATAAATAAATACATGAATAAAGTTGGAAAAAGGCAAAACTCTTTCTTACAGTGCAATGCCAAGTAATAAATACACAAAAGTCATGGAGTTGGAAGGTCATCAATGGATATCACCACCAGTGAATCAAAGTTTGGTGATGAACAAAATGATATATATTTATATAATAACTAAAATATTTCCTATCTAGCAGACAACACCCTGTGTTCAAAGTGTTCACCAGTATGGGACAAGCACAGTATGTGCCAGCTGACGCCACATGCCTGGGCCACATCACTTCCATGTTTAGTAGAAAAGGAGTATAATGTCATCAGTATGATTTTAAATGGCTCAGGAAAAATGTTATACAAATTATAGAAAAAAGAGAATGGTAAAAAAATTAAAATACATATAATTAGTAATATCTAAGTAAAGGATTAAAGGGTTCTAGGAGTTCCTTCTACTATTCTCTATATAAATGCAAGATCATACCAAAATGAAGTCATTAATGTTACTTTTAAAATGTATAACAAAATCATAAAATTAAAGACTTCAGCAAAACAGAGATATTATTAGTTAAAAGATACATACCAATATGTTCAAAAGTGACTCAAACTGGTATCTGGTATTTGATTTAAAATAATTACAGAAAAAGAAAGAGGAGTGAGGGAGGGACTGAATGGGGAGTAGCTAAAATTTTGATCATCATCATTCCCCAAGAATGATGGTTTTTTATATAGTCTCTCAACTTTTGCACTTGTCTGAAAACTTTCCTTCCATGACAGAAATTTTAAAAGCACAGAGCCACACACCTATAATCCCAGCTACTCTGGAAAATGAAGCAGGAGTATCACAAATTCAAGGCTATCTTGAGCCACATAGTGAGACCCTGTCTCAAAATACAAAATAGAAAGGTCTGTGGAGTAAATTTTTTTACAAAGCTAACCTTTCTGTAAGTTGATGCCTCACTCACTGCCTTTCCTCACATCCTTGAGATTCATGACAAAGAATATAGATGGTTTAGGTCACTGACCAAATTATAATTTGGGTTCGAAGTCAGTGTTTTCTAGCAATTATCTAAGATATAACAATAAGAGCAGGAGGCTTGATGTTCTCATAGTGCATTTCTTAATAATAGTTGTGAATGTTTTCATTCATTACTCTTCTGTTCAGAAAAAAACTTTGTGCAGCATGGAGTCAGAGACTACAGGGGTAAAAAGCCTGCGTCACCACACTTTAAGATGACATGTTCCTACACACTTCAGGGGACTCAAGTTTCCACTAGGTTCTGGAAGCTTTCCATCTTGGAAACATTGCATCTTCATGTGGCTATTAAAAATTAAATCTCCTTAAAGAAATAAGTAGGAGAAAAAAAAGCACTCTCTATTATCCGAGTGAAAACCAAAGGAAATATCAAGCTTTACTGAACACCCACTGAGATTCTAAGAGACCAATCAAACAAGACATCCTTGTTTTTGCTATCATTTCCACCCCCAAAGGGAGCCCAAGTTGATTCATTTAGAAATAGAGGCAGAAATGTAAAAGTTTACTAAAGTAAACTATTCAGTGGCAGTTATAATAATACTGATAACTTTTAAATTTATGTAGCATGCTTCAAAAGTACCACATAGACAAACACTAATTAGTATCATTCTACCAAACACCTGTAAGGTAGGCTTGGCAGATAGAACTGTCCCTATTTTAGAAGTAAACAAGTTGATGTTCACTATGATTGACTTTACTAAATCCAAAAAAAAAAGCAAACAGAAACACTAGGACTATTCTATAAGATTTTCCCAACTTTCAGTACTACATATTTTTTCAAGAATAATGACCAAGAAATTTTCCAAGCTGTAAAAACATTTAATGAACACCTCTCTTCACAGCAGGTTCAGTGCATTCATTACCTGTTGTTTCTATAGCAGCAGACATTACACATGGCTACAGATGATTCTAAACCAACAGCCACAAATAGGCTCACAAAAAATGTCAGATTTGTTTCTGCCCCTCTGCAACATGTTCAGTAGAATCTGCTATCAATCTATTATTCACAGAGGCACATAACACAATGGAGAGCCTCCTGTCAACATCATCACATATTTAGAAAAAAATTAGAAAATCATTTTTAATTAAAGATATCAAACATTAAAATCAATCAAGATATCCTACATACTAAAGAGAATTAAACTACTAAGATAACTGGCCCAAATTTCACCATCTTAAAGGGGGTAAAACCATGAATTTAAGCTTTATGCTCATGTACAGGTTTAATTCCTCCTAATTGTAAAGAGAACACTACCTGGAGATACCTGGAGATTCCACAAAAACTGTAAAAAATGCAGCACTGTCACTTGAAACATAATGTATTTAAAAATGAGTCAAGGGCCGGGAATTTAGTTCAGTGGTTCCCTTGCCTGTCTCGCAAGCACAAAGACCCAAGTTCCATCCCTGGTATCAAAACAACAACAACAACAACAACAAAAGCTCAATTACAAAGGCCAGAGATTCAGCTCAGTGTTTCCGCAGCCTTCCTCGAAAGCACAAGGACCTGGAAGAACCTTGCAAAACGACTTCCGGGAAGGTGAATACAGGCTTCCTTGGCTGCCACGTGGAGTGTACCCGCGGAATGGATGAACCGGTTTCCGGGGAGCTGGTGTCGGTGGCACATGCGCTTTCTCTCCCGGCAGAGTCTTATGGCAATGATCCGGATATTGAGATGGCTTGGCCATGAGAGCAATGCAGCATGCTGAAGTCTATTACAAGCTGATTTCATCAGTTGATCCACAGTTCCTGAAACTCACCAAAGTGGATGATCAAATCTACTCATCTCTCCCGGCAGAGTTATGGCAATGATCCGGATATTGAGATGGCTTGGCCATGAGAGCAATGCAGCATGCTGAAGTCTATTACAAGCTGATTTCATCAGTTGATCCACAGTTCCTGAAACTCACCAAAGTGGATGATCAAATCTCTTCTGAATTCCGGGAACATTTTGAGAAACTCAAAATAGATGTATTGGACCCAGAAGAATTCAAATCAGAATCAGCTAAAAAGAAGTGGAGGCCATTCTGCTTGAAGTTTGATGGGAGTGTAGAAGACTTCAACTATGGTACTTTGCTGCGACTGGATTGTTCTCAGGGTTACACAGAGGAAAATACTATGTTTGCTCCCAGGATACAATTTTACGCCATTGAAATTGCTCGGAATCGAGAAGGCTATAACAGAGCAGTTTATATCAATGTTCAGGACAAAGAAAGAGAGAAAGGAGCCAATGGAGGAGAGAATGGAGGAGAGAAAGAAGCTGACAGTGGAGGAGAAGAAGAGAAAGTAGAGAAAGGAGCAGATAGTAAAGGAGAAAAAGAGGAAAGAGTCACCAGAGAGGAAGAAAAAGAAAACTGACAAAGGAGGAGACAGATTTCTAGATACTTATGAATTACCAAAGTTGAACGAAGAAGATAAAAACATTTTAAACACCCCAATCACAATCAGTGAAATTGAAAATGTAATTAAAAACTTACCAACAAAGAAAAGCCCAGGCCCTGATGGATTCACTGCTGAATTTTACAAGACATTTAGAGAAGAACTACTACCATTACTCTTCAAACTTTTCAATGAAATTGAAAGAGAAGCTATACTTCCAAATTCATTCCTGGAAGCAAGTATCACTCTGATTCCCAAACCAGAGAAAGATACAACCAAAAAGGAGAACTACAGACCAATCTCCTTAATGAATATAGATGCAAAAATCCTTAATAAGATACTAGCAAACAGAATACAGA